CGCGGAAGTCGCCGCGCAACGCGCGGAGCGAAGAAACCCAGAATACCCAGACGAAAAGTAGATGGTTTCTTGATGCGCGCCCCCACTATAGATAATACTTCTATTACGCGCCGCTGGGACCCCTTCAGCGCAAGCACTGCGTGGGGAAGAGCGGCCCTGCCGCTTCTGGGGCCCACTGAGCACGGGCCACGAGCAGAGCACACGGCCGCGGGCCGCCGATGGGGGTGCATCCCGCGCGGGCCCCGCCCACCAGGCCTCCGAGGCCTTTTTTGCGCAGGACCCTTTCCTCGAAGACAGGCTGCTCAGTGCAGAATAGGGGAACGAGAAGTGACATAAACATAAAAGCTCGGAGGTCCGCGCGGATTCCTCGGATCGGCGCTGGACACCCCTCCCTGGCGCGCGGAGCGCGCCAGGGGCGGCGCCGGAGGCGCCCCTGGGGGGCCCCAGCGCCGATCCGAGAAATCCGCGCGGACCTCAGAGTTTTGATGGCTCCCCTGAACAAGGCCTCTCGGGGGAGCCTTCGTGTGGCCCCAGGACCGGGGACGGCGTGGAGGTCTGGCTCACGAGGGGTGATTCCGAGGGCTGCTCGGGCGCCTCAGGCCGAGCCGGAGGGCCCCGCGTCGGGCCGGGGGGTCCTCGGGCCTCGCGAAACCAGCCTTGCCCAACGGACCGAACCCTTCTGGCAGCCTCCGACAGCAGGAGGCCTCCGGGACGCCCCCGAGAGGAGCCCCCAGAGGGCGCCAGAGCCCTCCGAAGCGGCTCGCGGCCGCCCGCTCGAAGGAGGTGCAACAGAGCAGTCGCGCCCACGCTTGCCCTCGAGATCCCAGCAGACACCCACGAGGCCTTCCAAAATCCATCGAGGCACCTCCGAGGACCCCCAACGCCCCCCAACAAGAGCCAGAAACGCCCCAAAAATGCCCCCAACAAGAATCCCAAAGGGCAACGCCACAGCCATGCAACTGTACGCTCGCGCCACGCTACGATTCAGCGGTGCTTCCCCTACCGCCCCAGGATGGCTCTAACAGAGCCTGTCGCGAGAACTCGATGGAGCTGTCCTGTATGCTTTCCAGTGCTGCGCTGGCAAGGTTGAAGGGGCCCTGGGACACACAAATAAATACGCACAAATAAAATGATTCACAATATTTTCCCATATTTCCTGCATTTCTGTCTTCCCCCCCACTTCCCGTATTTTCCCACATTTCCTGGGGAATCGACGATTGATTGTGTCTGTGGGTTTCTTTCCCTCCTGACAGGTGGCGAATCCTCGCCGCAGGCAGTTGGGTTGCCTCCAGCAGCTCTGCCCCAAGGCAGCTCTGCCTGGCACCGCAGGCGCCGGAGCAGGGCACACGCCCTGGAAAGCCTGGGGTGCTCCCCCCCCCCGGGGAGGAAGCTCCGACGGGAAGCCGCCAGGGTCCTCCCATCCTGTGCCTCCTCGTGCCCATCGTTAGGTCGGGCATGTCCCCCTGCAGGCGGATCTTCAACGACAAATTAAGAATAATCAATAAGTATTGCAAACTTGTTGAGAAGAGGTAGAAAAAAACGTCTCCTGGCTTTTTTCATATGTTTGCATATTCCTCCTGTAGAGGGGCATGCCCCACTTAAGCCTATCGCTGCCCTGAGCTTCGACGTCGCGAAAAAACAATTCCAACTTCGTGCAAGATCCCGGCCTGAGCTCTCGGCCGCACCTTCTCTGCGGCACTCCTGGCCACGACTCCGAGGCGAGTTCCTTTGTGGGCTCGGAGACCCCCCGCCGCCAGGACGCCCCTCCAAGAAGGGGAAGCTGGTCTTGGATTCTGATGTTCCAACCTGCTTTGGCCTTGATCACCAAAAATAATTTCCAGCAACATGAAAGTACCGAAACTGGAGGGTTTTCGCGTGGCGGGCCCTGGGAGGCCACACCCGTACGACAAACACCGTTCCGATACCGTCCTGGGTGCTCGAACTTACTTCCGTGGATGTGGTCCCCTGCAGTACGGTGGGAGCAACGGCAGTCCTGGGGACCGGTATCCTGCACGGGCGGGCAGGGAAGGTGGGCCATCATGAACATGACCCAGTCTGAAACTTGGCGCGAGCGGAATTCAACCTTGGAACGCCTTCGCCGGCGCGTCGCTGGCGCGCCACCGCCGCACGGACCTACCGTATCACCCCTCGTGCCAGCGGTATATACACGAATCAGGACTGCACGCGGGCCGAAACTCACCTGCACACGTTGTCGGCTCGGCGTTGCCTCGAAAGGACGTCGGACTGGATGCAATCGCCTCGCTTCTTGAATCACCGCCAGGGCTCTAAGGAGATAAAGGGGGTTAGAAGCGTATGCCGAGGGGGGTTATGGATGGCCAAACCTAGCTTGCAAGTGGGTTGCAAGTGGCGTAGGTGGGTACAGATCTGGGCTAAGTGGCCAGAGCCCACTTGGCGTCAGGGTATACGTAGCCTACGTATACGATAAGTTAGACCAGGTGTAACCCACCCTACAATCAACTCATAATCACCCTATCCTCTTAGCATCACCGCGGTGAACCGATAAGGCCTCCATGAGACTTATGTTGCGTTGCCCCCATCGTACCTACGCACCACATCCCAGAAATACTTTCGAGCACCCGGAAAAGTGTCGAACGAGTGTCGAAAGAGTGTCGAAAGAGTGTCGGCCGAGTGTCTCCCAGGGCCGACGCGTGAAAACCCTGGGGTTTCGGTACTTTTCTGGTGCTCGAAATACTTCCTGCTGGTCAAAGCTAAAGTAGGTTGGAACATCATGACACGAGACATGCGATGTCCTCTGACCGATCTCAAAACGCTCGCGGCGGTTGGCGGCGCGCACAAGGGGGTGGAGGGAGGGGGGAGGGCTTCTTAGAAGGAGGCTGTTTCTTAGAAGGCGCCGGCCTTACATCTATAGATAAGGCCCGCGCCTTCTAAGAAGCAGGGGTGCTTTTCTAAGAAGCCCTCCCCCCTCCCCTCACCCCCCTCTGCGCGTGGCTGGGGCGGGGCGGAGGGGGGCGGACGCCACGGCAACCAGGACGTGCAGCATCGCCCTGCGAACTTCCGTCGCCGTCTCCGGGTCCGCAGCTGTGGCGCGCGCGAGGGGGCAGGAGAGCGCGCGCAGGTCGAGCGTCTGCTCTGGGGATCTGTGCAGGGTCGCTGCTCGATGGTCGACGATCGATGTGCGTGGAGCTCAACTCGCCGTCGCTCGGAGGTCCATTTCCCGTCCATTTGTCGGTTTCGTGCGTGTTTTTTTTGCTCGTTGGTCGAGGATGGTCCTCGATGGTTCTCGCCGAAAAAAATGCACACGTCCAAGCGATGCCAGGTCAATTGTCGGGGAGACGTAAGACTCGAGTTCCGGGGGCTCGGGTTGGCAGGACGGGGCCATGAATGAAAATGCCGAGACCCAATCTGAACTTTGACGCGAGCTCCCGCTGCAGACATCCCACGAAACCCGGACCGTCAAAATCCAGGACGCGCTCGTAAAAAAACTGTGGTAAACCCGAGTTCTGGCTTACTCGAGACTTAGGTTTCCCCGAAATTGGCCCGTGGGTGCCAACTCCCTCAGATGTGGCCAAATTCTGTGACCCAACCAGAGAGTCTGGATGGTAGCAAAACTCCAGCGCGGGATTCGGGGAGATTCCCCGATCGTGCCTGGCGATCCTTCTTGCTGGGGAGCGTGGCCACAAGCCCTCGGTTACCCAAATATCCGACGCATTGTTTCGTTAATGCTGGGATTCCCTTGTGGATGCCACGACAATGGACACCCTAACAGTCCTATCCTTGAACTTAAAATGTGTTGAAAATGTGGGGACATGTTTATAAACATGTTTTAACAATGTTGTTTCACATGTTTGAAACATGTTTTTTTACATGTCTTAGACACCTGGAACGTATTTGGCAACATGCTTCCTCTCCTTTGATCGTCCTCCACACAGATTCCCCAAAGGGGCGACCTTTTCCCCAAGGCCAGTCTTTGTTGATGCCCATCCCGAGCCGATTCCTTGACGGCACGTTGGCCCAACGAGGGCCCACGGAGCCCGACAGCCGAGACAGCCCCCCGCACACGAATTCCTCCAACACTCTGGAGGTCAGCAAAAGCAATCAACATCGAATCGGATAATCCGATCTAATCGGAATTGAGCAGGGACCGACCGTCCTGGCATTCCTATAGGCCTACCACGACACGTTCTTAGAAACCCAATCTGTTCTCAGAACAGAAACAATGTTCTTAGAACATAAGTCTGATATATTGAAACAATACAGTCTCAACCAGGAATGTTCTAAGAACATTTCGTGGAAACCACAAACGGCTCTTAGAACATTGTTTGGTAGGCCTGTAAGCACGCCAAGACGCTTCGCCACTGATTGACGGAATGGGAGTCGAATCGGGCCGCACGGGCACGGAGTCGGAACGGCATCGACTCGGCCGCGTCGGGAGGCAGAACGGCGCCGTGCAAACGTCGGGCCGCACCGCGCCGACGGGAAATCGGCATCGAATCGGATCGGGCCGGCTGGAGTCGAGATCTCGAAGCGGATCGATGGAATCGAGGTGAAGCCTGGGTCTGGGCTTCGGTCGGGCATGTCCCTCTACAGGAGGAATGTTCAAAAAGAGTGACAACATAGTCTGGAGGCGATGCTTCAATTCTGTTTTGTCTGAACTACCCAACATTGTTTTATATGTTTTCTCCAAATCCCCGCCTGCAGGAAGACATGCCCGACGAGGAGGACCTAGGGAGGAGGAGCAGGACCCAGGGAGGAGGAGGAGGAGGAGGAGGAGGAAGAGGAGGACCCAGGGAGAAGCATGAGGTGGAGAGGGAGGAGGAGGAGGAGGAGGATCCAGAGAGGAGGAGGTGGAGGAGGAGGACCCAGGGAGGAACATGATGATGAGGAGCAGGATGAGGACTGAAAGGAGGAGCACGAGGAGGCAAGGCGAGGGCGCCCTTTGTTTTTGTTATCCTGCGGGCGGAGCAGCAGAGGACCGCGATCCCACCGGGGGCGGCCGCGCGCACCGCGCGGCAAGCGCGGGGAGACCCCCGCCGCAGCCCCCCGGGGCAAGGGCAGGGAGTACGCCCACGTCACTCGGGGGCCCTCGCCCTCGTCGCGCCCTCGCCCTGCCCTCGCCATGCCTCCTCGTGCTCCTCGCTGGGTCCTCCTCCTCCTCCTCCTCCTCCTCCTCCCTCCTCTCCTCCTCCCCCTCCCCCTCCTCCTCTGGTCCTCCTTCCTCCTCTCCTCCTCCTCCTCCCCTCCTCCTCCCTTTTCTGCGTTTCTCGCTATGCCTCCTCCTCCTCCTCCTCCTCTCTCCTCCTTCCTCCTCCTCATCCTCTCTGGGTCCTCCTCCTCCTCTCCTCCTCCACCTCCTCCTCTCTGGGTTCTCCTCCTCCTCCTCCTCCTCCTCCTCCTCCTCCTCCTCTTGCGCCCTGAGGTTCGGTCGGGCATGTCCTCCTACAGGCGGAGATTGGAAGAAAAGAAACGCAATATCAGAAAACATAATTACGTATTCTCAAGCATAGTGATAATCTCGTCGAACAGTCGTCCCCATGCAATTTTTTACCATTCTTGAGTATTCCTCCTGTAGAAGGACATGCCCGACTGAATCCTGGTGCTCTCTCCCACTCGGGAGGTTCTCCCGCCTTCTCTCCGCTGGCTCCCTCCGCCCTCCCTCCTGCCCGATTGCTTCCTCCTTCCTGGCTGCCAGCCCGTGTAAAGCCTCCCTCCTCCTCCAGGGTGGTCCTCCGCCCTCCCTCCTCATCATCCGCCCAGCCTCCTGCCTCCCTGCGCCCTCCTCCCTCCCTGCTCCCTCCTCCCCACCCGCTCCCTCCTCCCTCCCGCCTCTGTCCGCTGCGCCCCTCGGCCCCCTGCCGAGAGGGCCGATTGTCTCGCCGCGGGCAGCTCCCTCGTCGACCGCCTCGCGGGCCGCAGCTCCCACTTTGGGATGCACGCAGGAGCGGCCCGAGGCGAGAGCGACCTCCGGTGCGCGGCCGTGGGGCTGCGCGAGGGGGTCAAACCCAAGCGCGCAGGCCGCTGCTACCGCAGCGCATTCAACGGTGGAGAAGAAGGAGGCGGGGGCGGAGGAGGGAGGAGGAGGGAGGGAGGGAGGGAGGGAGGAGGAGAGGGAGGAGAAGAGGGAGGAGGAGAGGGAGGAGGAGGAGGAGGAGGAGGAGGAGGAGGATGAGGAGGAGGAGGAGGAGGAGGAGGAGGAGGAGGAGGAGGAGGAGGAGGAGGAGGAGGAGGAGGAGGAGGAGGAGGAGGAGGAGGAGGAGGAGGAGGAGGAGGAGGAGGCAGAGGAGGGGCCCCAGGGGGGCCCGGAGCAGAGGTCACTCCAGCGAAAGGTCGCTCGTGCGGACGGGCGGCCGCTGCCCGCCCCACGGCGCCGCCCTGCGGAGCTTGGCGAAAGGAGGCAGCGACAGCTTGCAGCCAGTCCCGGGACCATTCCTGTTGGAAAAAACATACTGTGGGAAAGAACACAACACAACAAACATACAAACACACACACAGAGTGCGTGTGTGGGAAAAGTCACAGTGTGTGTGTGTTTTCCCACAGGGCTGTTTTTTCCCCACAGTGTGTGTGTGTGTGTGTGTGTGGGTGTGCGTGTGTTTCCCACAGTGTGTGTGTGTGTGTGTTTCCCACAGACTCTAGAGACGCACCAGCTGCTGGGCCTGTTTTCCACCACCACAAAGGTTGGAGGGAGGAGGAGGAGGACGAGGAGGAGGATAATAAGCACAAGGAGAAATTATAATAATACAAATCATAAGAATCATAATGAGCCTAAGACTCATACTGATACTAATCATTCGAATCAGAAGAATAATCAAATGGCAAATAATGATAATAATACTAATGCTAAGACGAATACTGATACTACGAGAAATGGTAAGAATACGAATGCAGATAACAATACTCATACTGATACCACGAATAATCAAAATAAGAATAAGAATAACGAAACACGAATAATCATAATAATACGAGTAAGAAGAAGACGAATATGAAACACAGGAATATTCATAATACGAACAAGAACAATCATACTAAAAATCATCATGTGACGAATACTCTTAAGACTAATATTGCGAGACAGAATAATAAGCATAATCATAGCGATAATAAGAAGGATCAGAGTAATTAGGATACCAATGAAACATCACACGAATCATAATACTGAGAGAAGAAGAAGAGGGGCCCCTCCCCCTCCAACTTGTGGTGGCGGTAGTGGACAGCGGGCCCATCGCCAGCTCTCCGAGCTGCGCCCGGTCGTGGCAACGATGGGGGCCTTCCGCAGGCCAACTGCCGCTGCCTCGACTGCGCCCTCCTCTCCGAAATCCTGCCCGGCATCTCGCGCCGCGCCCGGCCGTCGCAGCACGACGGGCCCCCTCTCAAGGGGGCCAAGGACACACAAATAAATACACACAAATAGAAGGATACCCCATACTTTCCCATGCTTTCTGGATTTTTGTCTTCCCGCCCAATTCCCATATTTTCCAATATTTTCTTGGGAATCGACGATTCATTGTGTCTGTGTGTTTTTTCCCTCCTAACCCTCGCGGCCCCAGCGTCCATGCATCGGCGACGCCGCGCGGGAGAGAACTGGGCTCCAGATCGGGGCGCATCGCCGGGGCATCTGCTCTGGCCCTGTGCGGGCGGCGTGGGAAGCAGGGCTGAGAGGCGTCAAACCTGGTGGGCGGGTGCAGAGGGGGTCTCTCCGAGACGAGCACGCCTCACTTCGAGAAGGTCAGGAGGCCCTTCTCGTGAAGCAGGCGGTTCAGGCAGGAATCGCTCTCGCCCCGCTTCCGGATGAACCCCGCCAGGGCGAAGGAGTAGAACTCGCCGCGGTACCTGGGAGGGCCAGCCGAGCCCTCGGTGGTCCTCCTTCTCCTCCCCCCCGGGTCCCCCGATGTCTTGAAACAAAGAGGGCGGATTTGTGTTTGGAAGGTTCGGCATCTGTTGGGTGCGAATTCATGGGGGCGATCATCAAATGGGGGGGGAAGGCAGAGGCTCCTCGGGCCCTCAAGGGCCCCTTCTGGGCCCTCAAGGGCCTCTCTCTGCAGCCCTCGCTGCCCCCTCCCCCCCATGTGTCGACCCCCCCACGACGCGTCCTCCGAATCCGGGGGCCTTATTCTCAGTCCAGGGACGATCAGAGTCATACCCATCGGTCGGAAGAAGTAGGTAGAAACATGAAGTATGGAGGCGTGGAAAGTAGACTGGGTGTCCGCCCGCCCCCTAAAGAGGACGCAAAAAGTGAAGCCACTCGATCATTGAAGTAGGAAGGTGCTTAAAGTAGACCGGAACCTGGGATTCCAAAACATCCATACTTTCAGCGACCGATGGGCACTCGGCATGGGCCATGGAGTCTCCAGCAGAAGGGGGGGGGACGTCGGATGGCCGGGACCTGGAGCTCCCGACGCCCTGCTCCCTCCCGCGGCGCCACCTCCTGCTCCTGCCCCTGCCCCTGCCCCTGCTGCTCCTCCTCCTCCTCCTCCACCTCCTCCTGCTCCTCCTCCTCCCCTCCCCTCCTCCTCTCCCTCCTCCTCCTCCTCCCCCTCCTCCTCCTCCTCCTCCTCCTCCTCCTCCTCCTCCTCCTCCTCCTGCTCTTCCTCCTCCTCCTCCTCCTCCTGCCTCCTCCTCCCCCTCCTCCTCCTCCTCCCCTCCTCCCCCTCCCCCTCCTCCTCCTCCCTCCTCCTCCCCCTCCTCCCCTCCCTCCTCCTCCTCCTCCGCCTCCTCCTCCTCCTCCTCCACCTCCTCCTCCTCATCCTCCTTCACGCCGCGACAATTTCACGACGCCATGAAACAGTCCTGGCCAAACCTCGCGACGCCATCTCTCTGCCTCATCTGTGAAGGCCCGAGGGTCCGAGACAATTCGACGTCGGGATGATCTCGATACAAACCCTACGGTTGAGTAGGGACCGGCCGTCCTGGCATCCCTGTCGGCCTACCACGACATGTTCTTAGAACCCAAAGCTGTTCTAAGAACAACAGCACTGTTCTGAAAGCAAAAACTCCATGTGTTGAAAGCGAGACAAACTGGATGACATGTTCTTAGAACCCACAAATGTCCTGAGAACGCACACACTATTATGATAGCACGAACCCGATGTGCTAAAGCAGAACACACTGAACAAGAAATGTTCTAATAACAGTTCGTGCAACCCACAAACGGATGTTGGAACCTTCTTTGGTGGGCATGTAGGCGAGCCGGGACGCTTCGCCGCTGCTTGATGCAAAACCTCGATCCACTGCACTAGATCCGTCTATTCATCCCGGACTGCTTTCAAACAACCTCGGAGCCCAGGGAAGTCTGGGGCCGTAAAGGGCTCTATCTCGACCTACGGACCTGACCTTGGAGCGCGGTCCGACCACCAAGATTCCGAGAAGGGGGCCTGCCCAAATGGCGTCGCCCCCTCCTCCTCCTCCTCCTCCTCCTCCTCCTCCTCCTCCTCCTCCTCCTCCTCCTCCTCCTCCTCCTCTTCCTTCTTCTCCTCCTCCTCCTCCTCCTCCTCCTCCTCCTCCTCCTCTCGAAAACCGAGCAGCATCCTGTGCGTTCCGATGTGCGGACTCCTGGAGCTACTTCTGGGCCCCAGACTTGTGCACAAGAAAACAGCCCAGGATGAGAAACACCGGCCATGAGAAAGGGCTCAAGAGGTCTGGGGGCGCCGAGGGCCGCAACAGCTCTCGAGCTGTCGGATGTAATTGGTCTACCTTTCAGTCGGGCGTGTCTCCCTACAGGCGGATTTTGGTCGAACCAAAAAGATGGCCAAAACATACTCTAGTCAAAATCAAAGATAGTCAAACATCTTCCCCCGACCATTTGTGGACCACTTCTGAATATTCCTCCTGTAGGGGGGACAGGTCCGACTCACGCCTGCCTCCTCCCGTTGTGCCAGGCGGCCCTTCCCCGAGCACACCCCCATCTCGTCCACCTGCAGGGAGACGCAAAACGGTGGGCCTGAGCCAGCCGTGGCGCAGGGGCCCTCGCCCATGATCGGGGATCGGGGCCGGCATCGGGGGAGAGAGGTCGGGGCCCACGACCGGGGGCCCCCCTGTTCCGGGAGCAGAGAGACAATACCCATCGGGGATGGACAGACGCCCCCTTGAGCAAAACGCGGTTTAGTGAAAGCGACATCGGGCCCAAACCTGGCGGGCGCAAGCCTGGAAGATGACGGCCGCGGCGCCCTTTCGAGAACCGAGAACGGAAGATTCACTGATCGACGTGCCAGGGTGGGGGTTCTGTCCACCCCCGAGCCCATGACACGCCGCCGTGAGTAACCCATCAACGAACTGAAGAAACACAAGGCCTTCGGGCAAGACCGACGGAACAACACGCTAACGGCCCACCAACGGCAGCGTGTCATGGGCACTATTTTGACTCCCGCCTCAGATGCTCGTTCTGGGGACCTTCTTGGAGCCACTCGCTCCACTCGCGCGTCGAAGCTGCGTCGAGCCTCCGTCAACTCGAAACGAACCTGAGTCGAACCTCAGTCGAACTCGAGTCGAACTTGAATCGAACTTGACTCGAACTTGAGTCGATTTGGAGTCGAACTAGGGTCGAACACATCCGTTCGGTGAGCCCCAGCAAGGTCAGACAACAACGAGCATCGAGCCCTCCCGAATTGCACGAGGGCACGGGGCCAGGATGCCCTGGCCGCGGGCAACTTGCAGAGGGCACCCCCCCGCCCTCCAGGTGCAGAGGGCGTGAGCACGACGGAGAGGACCGAACGAAAGGCACCCCTTGAGCTCTGCAGCGGGACGCACGAGGACAACCTGCTAGCGTGTGTGCTCCTTGGGGGCGTGCGCCCGCCCCAAAAATGCACAGCGTGACCCTCCTGTGTAGTATGTCGCTCTCCGCGGCTGGTGTGGCCAGAAGGCGCCCGCCGCCGCGCAGTCAGAGGAAGACCCCTCGACGCACGCGTCGTGTCGGCCCGTCGGCTCGCCGCCGATGCGGGGCCGAAACCCGCGGCAAACTCCGCTGCAGCGACGGCGACGCCTCCGGTTGCCGACACCGCACCAGCGGTCCGGCCTTGAACGATCTCCACTCCCGGGGGCCCCCACGGAGCCTCTCGACCCATCTCTCGGATTTCGGGCCGTGGGCTGCGCTCTGTGGGGGGACAGAGAGGTACCGACACCGCACGAAGCTCCTTGGACCTATCCCGGGGTGCGCTCTGACCAGAGACCTTCGAGGCGAACAACGGCGCTGGCGACGGGAACTTCCCAGGGAGGCCCAGGGCGAACACGAGGAACGGGCATCGCAAACGAACAAACAAAAAACATCAGCATCAACTTGTCTAGGTCCGCGCGGATTTCTTGGATCTGCGCTGGACCCCCTCCCTGACGCGCGGAGCGCGCCAGGTGCGGCGCCAGAGACGCCGCCAGGAAGTCCTGGCGCAGATCCAAGAAATCCGCGCGGAGCTCTGATAGTTTATGCTTGTGCAGTGGTCCCCCCTTCCTGCGGCCGCCCGCTCCGTCCCTCGTCCTCCTCTTGCACGCTGGCAAATTCGCTACAGCGGTGCCCCCGTTCAGCTAGCTTCTTCCACCAGCAAAGACGACCCCTGTATAGCCGCCGACGCAAAGGTTGATGCTCATGTTCCTCACTTCTCGCGGCATCCGTAGAAGAAGAAAAAACAACATAATCAGAAACTGTTGGTGCTCCGCGCGGACTTCTTGGATCCGCGCCGGACCCCCCTCCCTGGCACGCCTCCTGCGCGCCAGGGGCGGCGCCGGAGGCGCCGCCAAGGGGCCCCAGCGCGGATCCAAGAAATCTGCAAGGAGCGCCAACAATTTTTGTTTATGGCGTTTTTTCGTCTTCGAATGGTTTGTCTCACAGGGTGGCTCCCCAGAGGCCTGGACCTCTTTCCCGGGGCCTTTTTTTGTCCCGAGTCGTCTGTCTTGACGACGGCCCTGGGCTCCGCGATGGGCCCCCAGAAGACGAGCCTGACAGCAACGCCCTCCTTCTGCTGCATCCTCGGGGGGCCGCTCCCTGTGCATTCTTCTTTGAGCCCGGGCAGTTTCTCCTCGTCCGAGGGGCCCTCGCAATCTCTCGCCCCATGCCCTGTGCCGGGCGGATTTCGGTGGGTTCTGGGTCCCCGGGCTCCCGGGCTCCGGGCCGATCTCCTCAGCGAAAACCATCCACTGGTAGGGGCTTGCCTCCAGGGGTGGACCTGAACGGTGTTTTGGCCATGTCGTAGGCCGTTTTCGTTCCGACTTCCGCCTTGCTCTCCTCTGGTGCCATTTCCTCTGCGAGCCCGAGCAGTTTCTCCTCGTCCGAGGGGCCCGCGCAGCCCGCGCGGTCTCCCGCGCGACCCCGTGCCTCGCGTCCAGACCCCCCGCGCATCACGGCCGCCAGCGCTCTGCCGCTCCCGGGGCGGGCAGCCCCAACACGGCACTGCCTCTTGCCAGCCCCGTCGTGCCCCGCGCGTCCCGTCGCCGCCGCACCGACCGAGGGGAGCATCGGGTCGGGCATGTCCCCCTACAGGCGGATGTTGGACGAAGCATCAAACATATTCAACACAAATATCTTCCAAACGCATTCTAACACAAAGATTCAAAACAATCTTCCCCCGGACGACTTGTGTTGACTATGTTCGAGTATTCCTCCTGTAGAGGGAAACGCCCGACTGCTGGGGAACACGTCCCAACAAAAAGTTATACAAGGGCACCCTCCGACGAACTCTGCACGTACCTTCAGGGAGGGCGGCGGTGTAGAAAGTCGCCGGGTTTCAGCGGTGATGTATACACCGCCACCCTTGCTGGCCCCGTGGATGGGTTCGGAGCAGATGGGTTCGGAGGATCGCGCCGCATCGCCGATGCACCTGCGATGCATCGGCGATGCAGCGGGGACGCACCAGCGACGCATCGTCGACGTCGGCGACGCATCGGCGACGTTGACGTGAAGCACATCGGGCCCCACATCTTGAGCCTGGACCGGCCGTCTTGGCATTCCTATAGGCCAACCTCGAAATGTTCTTGGAACCCCAAGATGTCCTCAGAACGAATAAACTTTCTTAGCACATAATCCCGCCGTGCTGAAACAAGACTGAGCCAGAAATGTTCTGCTGGGAACATTTCCCAGAAACCAGAAAAGGTTCTCAGGACATTGTTTGGTGGGCATATAGGCGAACCAGGACGCTTCGACACTGCTTGATGCAAAGCCTCGATCCACTGCACCAGACCCTTCAATTCATCCCAGATTGCTTTCAAACAACCTCGGAGCCCAGGGAAGTCTGGGGCCGTAAAGGGCCCCAGGGACCAGAAGGAAGGCCTTTCTCCCTCGACCTACGGATCTGTCCTTGGAGCGCGGTCCGACCACCAAGATTCCGAGAAGGGGGTCTGCCCAAGTGGCGTCGCCTCCTCCCTCTCCCCCTCCTCTTCTTCCTTCCTTCTCCTCCTTGAACATCGGGCCGCATCGGCGCTGCATCGGCGATGCGGCGCGATCCTCCGACCCCATCTGCTCCGACCCGTATCCGGGAGGCCTGGCACCCTCCCCTGAGGCCCAGGAGCAGTTCCACTGGAAGGTACACCTCTTCAGGGAGGGCGGCGGCGTGCAAAGTCGCTGGCTCTCGGTAGTGATTTTGAGTGCCGCCACCCGTCCCTGAGGCCCAGGAACAAGGAAGAGGAATGGACGAGGAGGAGGAGGAGGAGGAGGAGGAGGAGGAGGACATTGCCGACGTCGGCGACTCATCTTCGACGTCGACGCGAAACACATCGGGCCCCACAGCGGGCCGCATCGGCGCTGCAGCGGCGCTGCGGCGCGATCCTCCGGCCTCATCTGCTCCCATAACCCGTTCCAGGAGGCGGCCTGGGAGCCTCCCCCGTGAGAGGCCCGGGAGCAAAAATCCACTGGAGGGTGCACTGTCGGGGCGTTGACCTGAGGAACCCTGCATGAGGAGCGAGGCCCCTTTTTCCCATAAGCTGAGCTTCGATGTCCCTTCGAAGACCTAAGGAACAACCTCAGGAAAGCTGTGAAACAATGAAGGAACATGGAGCCCCTCCCCAATGAACAGGGTTCCCCCTTTAGCGCCCCGACTGTACCTTCAGGGAGGGTGGCGGTTCTGTAGAGTCGCTGGTTTTCGGTGGTGATTTGACATGCCGCCACCTTCCCCTGAGGCCCAGGAAGAAGGAAAAGGAAAGGAGGATGAGGAAAAGGAGGAGGAGGAGGAGGAGGAGGAGGAGGAGGAGGAGGAGGAGGGAGGAGGGGGAGTGGGAGGAGGAGGAGGAGGAGGAGGAGGAGGAGGAGGAGGAGGAGGAGGAGGAGGAGGAGGAGGAGGAGGAGGAGATGGAGGAGGAAGGAGGAGGAGGAGGAGGAGAAGGAGGAGGAGGGGGGGTGGAGACGGAGGAGGATCAATCATGAATTGGAGGGTTTCTGTCGTGTACTTGCTTCCTGGCGGCGGAAAGTGGGCGCGGGCCTGTTTGGGCGGGATGCTCTGTTGGGGCCGCGAGGGGCTCGCTCCTCGCGGCCCCAACAGAGCATCCCTACCCCTCCTAGCATCCCTACCCCTCCTCGCGGCCTCAACAGAGCATCCGTGGGCCCCTGGCCCGAGTTGGCGCGCCCTCCGAGCCTGCCCCACGTTCAGCTGCACGGCGCCGTGCTCCTTCGCGGGGATCAGCCGGTTCGTCGCGGAGCACTTGCGCGGGATGTAGAGGTCCACGATCCTCGGGAGACCTCCTGCACTCCTCCTCCACATGGTGCCCTCCCCTCCCCCCTCCCCCTCCTGCCGCCCCCGCCTCGCTCTCCCCCTCGCCTCCGGATCGGCGGCCCTCCTGTCTCCCCTCCCGCGCGAGGCGGGGGCGGGAGGGGCAGCCGGAGTGAGGAGGGAACAGAGGAGGAGGAGGAGGAGGAGGAGGAGGAGGAGGAGGAGGAGGAGGAGGAGGAGGAGGAGGAGGAGGAGGAGGAGGAGGAGGAGGAGGAGGAGGAGGAGAGGAGGAGAGGAGGAGGAGGAGGAGGAGGGAGGAGGAGGAGGAGGAAGAGGAGGATGAGGAGGAGGCAAGGGGGGAGGGAGGAGGAGGAGGACAAACAGAGATGGAGGCGGAAGGAAAGGGAGGATGCACTCGGGCGAGGATGAAGAGGAATGGGGTCAGGATGAGGGGTATGATGGGGGAATAAAGGGGAAGGAGAAGGGGGACCGAGGGAGGAGAAGGTAAGAGGCAGGAATCTGAGGTCCACGATCCTAGGAAGAGGGCTACAGATGGGGGCAGGAGGTTCGATGAGGAGGGGGGGCGTGGGAAGGAGGGAGGTTGGAGGGAATTAGATGCCCACGATCCTGCCCTCGTCGTTCTGCATCGCTCACTTCCCTTTGCCAACGACCGCGCCAAAGTTCGGGGCTCTCGCAGGCCCAGCGTGCTTGAGCCTCGGATGCTGATCGCGGCGGCTCCGTGCAAAGTGAAGCCATATTATGGGAGAGGAAGCAGTGGGGGATGGAGCCCAAATGGGGTCAAAGTAAGTGGGGTCGGAAGATCGAGCCGCATCGCCGATGGCGATGGCGACGTCGGCGCGGAGGAACTCGGGCCCCGCATCGAGCCGCATCGCCGACGCGTCGGCGATGCGGCGCGATCCTCCGACCCCGATTCTCTTCGGGAAACGGTTGGACGGCCCGCAATCCCAATCGGTGGTGGACAAACCTCCCTTTAGTAAACCACCCTCTGACGAAAACGGCCTAGGACCGAAATCGACGGACCTGGACCCGCAAAAATCACGGCCGTGACGCCCTCTGGCGAACCGAAAACGGCCAATTCGCTAATCGACGTGCAACCTCCGACAGAGATCAGATGGTCGGTTTTTCTCAACGCGGGGTCCTCCAAGAAGAAGTCCCGAACTTTCGCCCCAGGGCCGGCAACGGACTCCCCGGGGGCCAGGAGGGGGGCCCCGGGAGGAGGAGAAAACAGCGGCAAGGACCTGCGCCCCGACCTTTTCGGTACGCTGGGGGCCTGGAGTTAGATCGGGCATGTCCCCCTGCAGGCGGATTCTGGAGGAAACATACAACAATAATCAACAACATAATAGCAACATCAGAAATACGCAAACATAGTTCCCAACCCTCATTGGTTGGGTATTCGTTTTGAATAAAGCACTGCGGTCTCTAGTCCTCCTCCTCCTCCTCCTCCTCCTCCTCCTCCCGCCTCCCGTCTCCCGCTCCCCTCTTGTCTCCTCTTGTCTTGTGCGTACCTCGTGTGTGTGTGTGTGTGTGTGTGTGTGTGTGTGTGTGTGCGTGCGTGCGTGCGTGCGCGTGCGTGCGTGCGTGCGTGCGTGCGTGCGTGGGTGTGTGTGGGTGTGTGGGTGTGTGTGTGGGTCTGTGGGTGTGGGTGTGTGGGTAGATGGGTGTGTGGGTGTGTGGGTGTGTGGGTGTGTGGGTGTGTGGGTGTGCGGGTGTGCAGGTGTGCGGGTGTGCGGGTGTGCGGGTGTGTGGGTGTGTGGGTGTGTGTGCGTGGTGTGTTGTGTGTTGTGTGTTGTGTGTTGCGTGTTGAAAATGCAGTGTGTTTGAGAGTGTGTGTGTGTGTGTGTGTGCGTGCGTGCGTGCGTGCGTGCGTGTGAGGGTGTGTGGTGCGTGGGCGTTGCGTGCGTGCTTGCTGTGCGTGTGCGTGTGCGTGTGGCGTGTGCGTGTGCGTGCGCGTGTCGTGTGCTTGTGCGTGTGCGTGTGCGTGTGGTGTGCGTTTGCGTGTGCGTGTGCGCGTGCGGCGTGCGCGATGCGCGGTGAGCCGTGCGCGTGCGCGTTGCGCGGGCGCGTTGCGCGTGCGCGTGCGCGTGCGCGTGCGCGTGTGCGCGTGCGCGTGCGCGTGCGCGTGCGCGTGCGCGTGCGCGGGCGCGTGCAAGTGCAAGTGCAAGTGCACGCGCACGTGCGCGTGCGCGTGTGCGTCTGCGTGCGCTTGTGCGTGTGCGTGCGCGTGTGCGTGAGCGCGTGCGCGTGCGCGTGCTCGTGCGCGTTCGCGTGCTCGTGCGCGTGCGCGTGCGCGTGTGCGTGCGTGCGCGTGTGCGCGTACGCGCACGCCTGTGCGCGTGCGTGCGCGTGCGCGTGCGCGGGCGCCGGCGTGTGCGAGTGCGCGTGCGCGTGCG